TTGCTTTGGACAGGAGTCCATGGAGCTTGTATTCACCTTAAATAAATGCTCTTGTTTCCAAGTAGTCTCTCCTGTCTCTTGGAATTCTTCACCAAAAGTGCCTCAGGATCCCTCTGTGCTGGGATTACAGTTGCACCACAGTGTGCGCTAACAATTTTCTCTTCCCACCTCTCCCCTCAACCCCTCTTTGAGACAGGATCCTTTGTGCAGGTAAGGCTAGCCTTGAACTCATTATATAGCCCAGGCTGGCCTCGAATTTCATCCTCCTACATTCAGCCCTTAGCAATTCTCTCATATCCAGTGAATTTTTTTAGTCTTCTAGGACTTTTTGTTTGTTTGTTTCTTTGGTACTGGAGATTGAACACAGGGTCTTCACAATGAGTTACAGGCTGAACCCTTTTTAATTTTTTAAAAAATCTGAAGCCTTTAAATTTGTGGTGGCGTATGCCTATTATCCCAGCACTTGGGAGGATCACTGCTAGTTCCTGGCTAGTTTGGGCTACATGGTGAGATAAAGGCCAGCATGAATTACATAGTAAAACCATGTCTCCAAAATAAAAAGTCTTTGTTTTGAATTTTGAGACAAGATTCCCTAATCTCTAAATTCTCCAGGCTAGGCTTGAATTTGTTGGTAGGAAGTTTTATTCACACAAAATAAATTGCACTGAGAATGAGAATGAGTTTACTTTTATTTATTTTTTTGTTTTTTTGAGGCGGGGTCTCACTATGTAGTTGACTGATGTGAAATTTAATATGTAGACCAGGCTGGTCTGGAACTCATAGCAAACCTCCTGCCTCAGCCTCCTGAGTGCTGGGATTACAGGCGTGTGCCACCATGCCCTGGCTGAGTTTACTTTTAGCTTTGGGGCAATTCCACCGTCTCTCTAACAAGGCCATGGCTTTGTGGGGAGTGCAGTAAGGAAACTTCTGAGGAAAGCAGGACAAGGTATTATAATGGGGTAACCAGCACCCCTGTCTCACAAAGTCCAAGATTGAACCTATGACACAGGAAGCAAACAGGCAGACCGTTTATTAAGAAATAGTTCATATTAATGGGTGAGTGGGACCTGGATGTGGGCTGTCACGAGACTCTTTCTAGAAGTTTTAGTGGGTTTTTTTTGGTTTTTTGTTTTTGGTTTTTTGAGACAGGGTCTCACCATGTAGTTGAGACTGACCTGGAACTCACTATGTAGCCCAGGCTAGTTTCAAATTCACAGCACTCCTCCTGCCTCAGCCTCCCAAGTGCTGGGATTACAGGCGTGCACCACCACACCCGGCGGGCCTGGCCCAGTTTCTTTTTTTTCTTTTTTGGTACTGGGGGTTGAACTCCGGTCCTTGCCCTTTTGAGGCAGGTGGCTGAACCACTGACCTAAATTCCCAGCCCCCAGTGGTGGTTTTTTTTCGAGACAGGGTCTGGCTGTGTAGTTCAGATTGGCTTTGAACTACGTAGTCCAGGCCGGCATTGAAGTTGAAGTAATGCTCCTGCCTCAGCCTGCTGAGTGCTGGTATTACATTACAGGTATGAGCCACCGTGCCTTGTTGGTTTCTATAAATTCTTGAGCTCAGCTTCAAGCTTGTCTGAACCAGACCTGGACATTCTGGCTTCATCTTGGACCCAGTTCCTCTCCCTGACTGCTATCTCATGCCTAACTTGTATGTCTATAATAGTATGTGTGTCCCCAGATCACAGGCAGAACTTCAGTTTGTGATTTCAGGGTCCTCCAATAGCTCGAAGCCACTACATCTTTTACACTTAGATTTGTGTTCGCGGCGGGAAGTGCAAATCAGTGACAGAGTAAGTGTATGCAGGAACGCTGGGTTTAAACCCTAGCACCAAGAGAAAGTTTTCTGGGGCAATGTGCAGGGCGGGTTTCTCTGTGCCGAGTGGCTCAGGACAGTGACACAGGATGAGGGATGTGAGGAAGCTGTGCTCTGCATACTTTCATGCGAGCCCTAAACAGAAGGGTCCACGCTCCAAACAGAAGGGTCCACGCTCCTCCGCGCTGTGCTAGGGCCAAGCTCAGTTCCGCTGTGCGGCTACAAAGAGCCGGACTAAGAACCCCGACCAGCAAAGCCCGAACACCCGGCCCCACTCCCTCAAGCGGGCTCTTTACCCCTAAGGTCCGGGCTGAGGTCACTCGCCCGGTCACGTGCTCCAGCCTCCGAAGCGCCACATCGCCAGCCGCACCCTCCACCGCCACGTGACCCGGCCTAGTTTTTTTTTCAGGCCCCGCCCCTGCCGCGCCCGCAAAGCCCCGCCCCAAACAGCCCCACTCCTCACGTGAACCGCCGCCCGGCAGACCCTGGGCTTTAGCTCCCACGTGACTCTTTCTGCCCAATGGAAGTCAGCGCTCAGGCGTGAGGGGCGGGGAGAAGGACGCCTTAGTTACGCTTCGAGAAGGGGCGGGCCCTACGTCGTCTGACGGACCGAGGGGACGCAGCGGAGGCAGGCCGGAGCCGCTGCCGTCGCCATGACCCGTGAGCATCGAAGCCCCTTCTTTTTGCCCTTTTCTTTCTATTGCTCCTGGTTTGGACTTCCGAGTCGCCCGCCTTGGCCTCCTGTTAGCTTCCCCAGCCAGGCCTTCCTCGGGAAGAGCTCTGCAATTGTCCTCACACTCGGAGCCCGGAAATCGAGCCTCTGCCCGCCGCCCTCTCCCGACCCCCCCGCCCGTTAGTCGTGGCCCTCAGGACCTCTAGCGCTGTGGGAGCCCCTTGCCCATGTTAGGACGCGAACCTATGGCTCCACCCATCCCCCTGGGAGACCCGCGACACACTCCGCACGGGCTGGCGGGACCCCACACCGCCCCAGAACTCGGAACACGCCTCCAGCGAGCTCCTGGCCGGTGTTCGGACCTGTCCCGGGGATCCTCTCTCTAGCCTCATCTCCCTTCCCCTAGACGGGCGGGTACCGAGCCCCAAGTTGGGACGGGTCGCCGGCGTGTGTCCAGAGCGGCCCGCCGTCTCACTTTTCACCCTCTCTCTTTAGGCGGTAACCAGCGTGAGCTCGCCCGCCAGAAGAACATGAAAAAGCAGAGTGACTCGGTTAAGGGGAAGCGCCGAGATGACGGGCTTTCTGCTGCCGCCCGCAAGCAGAGGTAGCCCCAGGGAGGGGACGGGACGGGACGGGACTGGACGGGACGGGATACCTCGGGTAGACCAAGGGTTGGACTAGTAATGAGCGCGACCTCAGGGCTTAACACTGATCTAGTCGTGAGGGGCAGAGTGCATTGCTTCCTCTAGGGTTTTATTTCCTCCCCACCCTTCATATTGTTAGGTCACGGTCTTACAGGAAGGGACTGGGGTGGATGCCTGCCTTTGGTCTTTATTTCTGAGTGCCCCTGAGTGTGACCTTAAGGGCAAGGGCAGGGCGCTTCACGTTTCAAGAACAGTTGTTATTACAGTCAGTACTTTTGGCCCTTCTTGTAGTTCATTTTCCCCCCTTTTCCCGATTTTCTCAATAGTGTTGCTGGGTGTGGTACTCAGCACAGAGTAGGGAGCAGTTGAACCTACATGGCCAGACTTTTGACCCCTTGGGCAACAGCCAGATGGAGACTGATTGCCTTTTGAGCCTCAGCTGTAGTCCTCTTGTTCTCCTAGGGTGGGAATACAGCAGCCACATGCTGAACTTTGTCCCATCCACTTCCATCTTGTCCTTTGTGCCCTTCATCCCCCTGCATCTTGTCCTTTTTGCCCTCTGGTACCTCCCAGTGCCCCATCATCTCTACCCCCAGGGACTCGGAGATCATGCAGCAGAAGCAGAAAAAGGCAAACGAGAAGAAGGAGGAACCCAAGTAGCTTTGTGGCTTCGTGTCCAACCCTCTTGCCCTTCGCCTGTGTGCCTGGAGCCAGTCCCACCATGCTCGCGTTTCCTCCTGTAGTACTCACAGGTCCCAGCACTGATGGCACTCCCTTTGCCCTGAGTCTGCAGCGGGTCCCTTTTGTGCTTCCTTCCCCTCAGGTAGCCTCTGTCCCCCTGGGCCACTCCTGGGGGTGAAGAGGTTACCCCTTCCCAGTGTTTTTTATTCCTGTGGGGCAAACCCCAAAGTATTAAAAGTAGCTTTGTAATTCCTTGAGCGCCTGGTTTGACTGGGGATTTGGGGGGATGGGGATGGAAGAGTGACTGTCATTTCCCATCATAAGGGGAGAGCTCTTTAGACTCCTAAAGAGATTGTGGTTATTTAGACTTTGATGAGTGAACATCACAGGAAAAGAAGCCTGTGCTATGCAAAGTACTCTGGTTATGTGATAGAAGACTCCTCTGAAAACCAAAGAGATTTCTTTTGTGTGATTTTTGTTGCCAACCCAGACTTTGAACACCATCCCAAGGATGGAGTTGAGGGCCAAAGAGGGAAGGCTCCAAAACCCAAGTTTATACCCTGCTTCCTTACTCTTCTTCAGTTTGTTTTTCTACTTGAAAGTTGGCCAAAAAAAATCCTGCTGCTCCCTGACTTTTTATGGTCAGCTGCTCTCAGGTGTCACATTCTCTTCTGTTCTGTCATTCATCCTGGAGTGAGGGTGGTTATTTGTCATCTGGCTTACTTTGACCTTAAGATCAGGGTTAAAACCTGGGATAGCTCTGTATTTCTTTCTTGCTATGCCCTGATTTGTTGTGTGATTATGGGCTTCTACCCTTGTGCCAGAGTTGTACAGCTTATTTTCCTTTTTTTCTGCAAGGACAGATCCAAGTCTTCAGTCCCTGTTGGTCTCTCCCCAGCCCCCACCTCCACTTTAGGAGCCAGGAAAGGGCTGGTGCCACACTGTCTGCTCGGATCACCAGTGGTTCCTGAGCTGCTGATTTGGGGGTTAGGCTTTTGGATTGTGATGAAGATGTAAACAGAAGCTGCACTGAATCAGAAACACTGCCTAGGGCTTTGGAGTTTTAGTTCAGCCATAGTGTTGATTTAAACCTAAGGTGAGGTTTATAACTCCCCATTATATCCTTGAAATATTGAAGTAGGCTGGACAGTTTCCCTGCCCCAAGATTAGGGGTACATCTTGGTTTATAGAAAAGGGGGGCGGTGCTGTTGTCTGGCAATACTAAAGCAATGGTAGTGTTTCCTGAAGAGGGGGCTGGGGGTCTTGGGTGGAGGACCAACATTGGTTGCCAGTAGCTTTCCCAGATAGAAGAGGCCCAGGCCCAGCATGAGACAATCTTGATCCAGAAGGTAGCCTAGTTACCCTTGGTCAGTGTCTTTTCCAGTTCTGCTTCCTCATAACTGTGGAACCAAAGACTGATTAGAGGATATGTGGGACCTTAGATTGTTTTTACGCCCCCCAACAATCATAGCAGACTCACTGTAGAACTCTTGAGTGGCTTTGAATTGTTCTTCCCCTAAAATAGCCAGAATTTCAGGAGAGTATGTATCTCAAGGCCACTTGGCTTCCCACTTGAACCAGTTGGTAAGGGTAATCATGACAAGCAAGGAAGACAAAGTGGAAGGCAGAATAGCCGTAGGAGAGATGCTGGTCTTTCACTGGAGGGAGAGGTTTCTTGGTTAGCTTGCCTGGCTGTCCTACTGTTTTGCCCTGGAGAGAAGGGAGGCCAGGTGGGAAGCAGTGTTGCTTCCTTCCTCCCCAACTACATTCATGAAGCCTCTTGAGGGCTCTTTGGCACTTTATATAGAGTCCTACCAGTTCTTAAAACTTAACACTTGACACTGTCTTTTGGCTCCCTTATTTGGGGTCAGCAGAAACAGAGGGAGGGCTTCTGCAAAACAAGACAGCATGTTACAGAATGGCTTCCAAGGAATCTGAGTGTTGATTTAGGAAACTTCTTAAAAAGCTTTGTCTAGTGTAAGAAGTGGAGGGTCTGGGATTTAACTCAGTGGTTCTGCCACCGGCCTCGCAAGCGCAAGGTACCGAGTTCAGTCTATGGTACCAAAAAAAAAAAAAAGTGGAGGCACACCTGGGTTCAAATTCTAGCTTCAGCATATAACTGGTTATGCAAACTTTGGTAAGATGTTTAATCTTTTATGCCTCAATTTCTCCATTTGTAAAATGGAGCAAATACCTACCTCACAGGGTTGTTGTGAGGATTAAATTAAATGAGATTATGTATGTAAATTATCTAGCACAGTGCCTAGCACATTGTGGGTACTCAATAAAAGGAAATAGCTAGCATCTGAGCATTGTGGGTAGAGGTTGGTAGGGTGTGGGTGTGTGTGTGTCTTCCTGTGTGTTGGAGGGGGAGGGTGTTGGGACCATTGAGCTGGAACACAGCTTGTAAACCTTGATGATCCACAAGAGCCCAGACTTCAGCCAGATAGGAAGCCTCCTTGCTGAAAAAAAAAGTTCTCAAGCTGGTTGAGTCAAATAGGATTTTTGGGGGGGCATTTACTGTTGATTAGTCCATATTCATAATCCTCAGGAGCGTGCTGTGTTCCCCAATCCCCCTTTCACTAAAGGTTTAGAAATCTATTGATGTGAAGGCCCTAAGATCTGTACAAAGTTTTAATTCTCAGGTCATTCTCCCCACCCCCATCATCTCATAGGGATCATCTTGACAAAGTGCTATTTTTAGGAATTGTCCCTGTTCATTGGGAACTTTTCTTCTAGTCTTGCTCTAAAGTTCCAATAAACCATGGTCCTAGACATTCTCCTGACTCGGCCCTCCTGGTCCTGAACGTCATCCCTTCTGGTAACATCTTTATGCACCAAACAAACACACAAGCACACAAGCTGCTGGAACTCCTCATTGCTAGTGAGGTATCTGATGTTTGGTTTTCCATTCTACCTTGGCCAGGCAGACATGGTGTGAGTCTGTCCTTGTAGGACCACTGGGGAAGAGCAAGAAATACTTAGAACAAGGAGTTGAGTATGTGCAGGAGCAGAAAACTTCCTACCTAGTATTACCTTTCTGTGCAGGACAGCTGTACGTTGTAGAGAAGGTCAGGGACATGATACAATAGCTGATGATAGAAGCCTATAGAAGGCCATTTGTGGGGTTGCTGTCGGGAGAATAGATATCATTGTGTTATTCTACAGGGTGGTGATTTTCTGCACTCCCACCCCCACCTGCATTTTTGCCGCCACATCCCTTGGTGAAAACAGAGATTCTTATATTAGATAATTGAGGTCAAAAAGCCCAGTGACATTTGCTGAAAGGCTTCCCAAACTTAGAATGCCTTAGGGCATTGGTGGCAAACCTGTGACACGTGTGCCATAGCAGGCTGTTTCATAAAGCTCTAAAATATTTGCCATCACTGACTTAGGTCATATACCCTCTCAGGCAGATGCAAGAAGTGATGGAGGGGAAGGAGAGGAGGCCACAGAAACAGGTGCAGACTGAGAAGGATTTTTTTTTTAATTGAGTTTATTGGTACATTTTAGGTATACAGTACAGTTACATTCATTACTGGGATCTTGTACATCTACATGACAGGTCTTGGTTCTCATTTTATCCCCTTGTCCCTGCCCTCCCTTCACCCCCTCCTCTCCTTCCCATTTACAAACACTTTATTTCCATTTTCTTACTATTTTTTTCTTTTCTCTTATTACCTTTCTCCTACCCTTCCCACTTTCCGTACACCTTTAGCCCTTTTCTTCCTATTTCACATTGTCAATTATCTCATTAGGATTTGATGTACTATTACAGTTTTTCACACCAGAGAGAAGCATGGTGTTGAGAAGGCAGCCAGCTGGATGTGTGTAGTGGCAGAACAGCAGCACAGCTCCCACACTCGCCATGCTGTAGAATTGGGCTGGCCACCGGTACCGTAGGGACCAGCTGCAGTCTTGGGCTATACCTGTGTGCCTGAGGAGGGTGGGCAGAATGTCTTGAAGCTCCAGCACTTTAGTTTTTCCCATTATTGATGGACGTGATTACTCCATTATCACAATCCTGAGCTTTTTGATACTGATCAGTGGGAAACTTAACTGGTACCAACATCTTGCTGTGCCCTTTGCTCAGCCTTCTTGCATCCAGTAATGCTGGACAACCTTGGACAAGCTTTTAGGGTTGTATACCCCTTACCAGTTCTTGTTGCAGGAATGAAAAAGCTGTCATAAACACTAGCTGCAATAGAATGTGAAGCCACCATAGATGCCGATATAATGCCAGGCTGTAAGGTGGGCATCAGTAGCTGTTACATATGTTCCTGCTGCTCTTCTGCCCACTCTGTGTTAGCAGTCCTTTCGACTACTCCTGATAGAGGTGTGAGATTTCCTGGGAAGATGTTCATCAGGAGTGCAGAAGGTACAGCCAGAAGCTGAATAGGAAGGAGAGAACAGACTCAGCCTGATACAGTGGAACACACCTGTAATCTGTGCTACTCAGGGGGCTGAGGCAAGATCACGTTTGAGGCCAGTCTGGTGAGCTTGGCAAGACCCTGCTCAAAAGGCTCAATAGTAGAGTGCTTGCTTAGCAAGTCCTGAGTACTACAAAAACAAAGCAAAAAACCCAACTAACAAGGCAAAAACGAGGGAGAAGGAAAACGCAGAAGTATGAAAAGAGGACAGAAGAGATGCAAGGAAAGGAGAACAGATCTGAAGCAAATGAATCTGGCAACCAGGCCCATTGCACTTTCACATTGTAATTCAAGATACCAAAATAATATCTAGGTAGTGTTTTACATTCACAGAGGGCTTGTATATAATAACGCCATTGTTCTTTCCACCCTGGATACCCCAAGGATAAATGTCTGGTTCATGGTCCACATAGTGAGTACAGCGAGTACAGCGGAAGCAGGAACTTAAACCTGTTTTCTGTCTTTCACAGTGCTATTACTTCATCCCAAAATTTACCCAGCTCTTGGGTGCTTTGCCATGTCGCTTCCCTACCCAGAGTAGACACAGACCTGTACCTCTGCCTTCGGGCTAGTGGTGTGGAGGTGAGCCAGCTGTACAGCCTGCAGCTGGTGGAAGGTGGTCATTCCTGTATATACTCTGTAAACAACTAGAGCACAGGCCAGGCAGATTGGCCAAAGAGGTGGGCACAGGCCCCAAGAGCCTCTGGATCTGGAGGGTGTGTGTGAGACATCTCCGTGCCCAGAGGTATGGCCACTCCCGTGCCCTCTGCCCCATCTGAATCTCATCTCTCAGGGTTTCTCCTGTTTTCTTTTCCTACCTTGCAACCTGCCCTTCCCAAGACCCTGTCCCTTGCCCTGGAGCCTTTCCATCACTATCCTTGCCAGCAGGAGTCAGCTGCAGACTGCTGAGGTGTCCCCAAGCAGAAAAGGATGCAGACCTGGCTGCAGGTAGAAAGGGCCACCTGGAGTGGCAGCAGCTGGCACAAGGAGCGTGCCCACAGCAGGACCCTGGGGCAAAATCAGATATAGGGCAGCCAGGTGATTTGCTGAGGAAAGGTACACATTAATGTATGAGGTTAACTTAGAGGAGGCTTTATTCCAAAATGTTCCCTTCCTTTTCTTCCGTTTACTCAAGGTTCCTCAGAATGCTGTGTTGGAGCTAAGGGCTTAAGAGCAGGGTTGAGCTATCAGCTTTTCCCTACCTAAACATCTGGCCAAGAACCAGAAGGGGTAGTGAGGCCTGGCTTCCTCCCCAGCCTCAGCCACTTAGGTTTCCCGTTCTCCAGACAGCCCTTACTTTAGTAGGGAGCTTGCAGACCTGTCCACCAAGCTGCACCATGGCACCACGCTTCCCATCCTGTCCTCTGCTGTGCCAGCCGAGGGCCACCCGCTGGGAAGCCCCCGAGGACGCCGAGGACACCGCCCCTCCCCGACGCCCCGCTGGCGGTCTTCCCCGAAGGCAGTTTGCACAGGTCCTAATGGGTTTAGGGTTAGCAACCAGCCGGGCTGGAAGAATCCCTGCTGTGTGTGTCTGGGTGAACTGCCCCCAGATGAAGAGCTGGGCCGGAGGCCAGAACGGTCTGGAGCGGGCACGGCGTAGGGCCTGAAGGACTTGCGGGGAAACCCTAGAGCCCTCAAGCAAGAGAAGTACCGCCATCCCCGCTGAAGCTTCTAGAACTCGGCCCCGCCCCCGTCCGGGCGGAAGTGCGACCCCGGAAGTTGCCGGCGGCCCGGCCCCGTCCGGCCCCGTGTGGGCGGGGCGGGATAAACATGGCCACCGAAGGAGACGTGGAGCTGGAGTTGGAAACCGAGACGAGCTGCCCGGAACGGCCACCGGAGAAGCCTCGGAAGCATGACAGCGGTGCGGCGGACCTGGAGCGAGTCACCGACTATGCGGAGGAGAAGGAGATCCAGAGTTCCAACCTGGAGACGGTGAGGTTGCCGATGCGTCTGCTCTGTGGGTGGAACCCGCGCTCGGGCTTGGGTGAGGGTCCCAGGGCGCGGAGGCGGGAGGACCGCGGCACGAAGTCGAGGCTGGTGGGGATGCGCCGACCCGTGGTCTGAGTGCGCGAAGAGCCGCCCTGGACCGACTCTTGGGTAATCGGGAGTTGTGAGCAGCAGCATGGTGACGAGACCTGTGTTTCTGTAGGCCATGTCTGTCATCGGAGATAGGCGGTCCCGGGAGCAGAAGGCCCGACAGGAGCGGTAAGTCGGCAGCCCCTGCTCCAGGCCTTAAGAGAGCGTAGGCCATTGTTAAGCCTTTGTACGATTTTGACCTCTCCCCAGTTCCCGCAGATGGGGGTCTTAGGATTTGTTATTGTAAGCAGCGCCTCCTGGTGACACCTGCTGCTTAAAGCCTCCCGGGGGAAGCACAAGGATATTAGTTGAAATCCTTTGTTCATCAAGATTCGCCTACTTGCAAGGCAGCAAGAGCTTGTGGAAGTGGGATAGGAGAACTGATGTACATAACATTTTGCAGGGAGAAGGAACTGGCAAAGGTCACTATCAAGAAGGAAGATCTGGAGTTGATAGTGAGTAGCAGTGCTTTTAATAGTTCTTGGGGGGCCGGAGATTTAGCTCCGTGGTTCTGCCACCTGCCTTGAAAGTGCAAGGTCCTGAGTTCAATCCCTAGTACCCCCCCCAAAAAAAAAGTTCATGGGAAGGGGAGGTTGTTTAATTTGGATAGTTTTCTTACATAGGTTGAGTCAGAAGTTTGGTAGCACATTAATGCCATAAAGGAGGCCGAGGTAACATGGTGGATCCTTGTCTTGCAGATGACAGAGATGGAGATCTCCCGAGCAGCGGCGGAAAGGAGCTTGCGGGAACACATGGGCAACGTGGTGGAGGCACTCATTGCCCTAACCAATTGATTCATGCTTTTTCAGACAGGACTCCTGTGCTAACTTACTGCAATAAAGATTTTTTTCTTTTGCAGTTTTATTATCTTAGATTAAATGCTTTATATATTTTGTTGTAGGAATTTATATGTTGGAGAGTAACTGAAATGCTCCTTCCTCCCACAACTCTTAGTAAACCTGTTTTCATTATAGAAAAGTACTTTGTGTCCAGATGCACATTGTAGACAGCAGGCTAGCTTTCAGCAGTATTCAGAGTATGATTCGAGTCTCACCAGAGTTACTACATCCTGTCTCAGGATACTTTAGGAACAGCTGAAAGGCCAGTACCTTCCTAGGAGCCACAGTAAATAGATACAGGTTGCCAACCCAGTTCATAGGCTCCCACAGGTAGTGCCAGACTTGGAAACATGGTGATAATATGTATATCAAAGACACCTGAGCTACATTGGCGGGTTTTTGTTGTTTTTTTTCATTTTGAGACAAGGTCTCCCTAAGGTGCCCAGGGTGGTTTTAAACCTGCAATTCCAGGTGTGTACCAACTTGTCTGGCTCAAAGGTGTGAGGCAGGCAGTGGAACCACTGAGCTAAATCCGCGGCTCTCAAAGGTTGTTTTTAATTTTCTTTTAGGGAGGATCTCACTGTGTAGTTTAGGCTAAAGTTGAGCTTACTCTGAAGGCCAAGCTATCCTTGAACTCACAGCAGTCCTGTCTCAGCCTCTCTAATGCTGGGATTACAGGTGTGTATCACTATTCCTGGCCAGAGGTTATTTTTAAACTTAATTAAATGGGAGGCAGGGAGAATTGATATATGAAAGATTTGAATTTTGTACCGTAACACATTCTGTATTCTATTTCCTATTGAGAGAAGACAGTAATTTTGCTGTAAAAGTTTATCAATTTTGGTCAGCTCACACTTGCTGTTTGTTGTAAGAATTGATGAGCTGGCAAACATGCAAAAACCTGGCTAATTATTTTCCTCAGAGTAGACACTTAAGTGGGATCCATGGTTTCTTTAAAGAATTTCAAGGCCTTAGCTGGGTGTAGTGCCACATACCTGTAATCTAGTTATTAGGAAGGCTGAGGCATAAGGATCGCAAGTTCAAGTCCAGTTAGGAGCATTTCAATGAGATTTTGCCTCAGAAACTATTTTTTTTTTCTTGTGAGACAGGTTCTTACCACATATTCCAGGCTGGCCATGAATACACTGCAGCCCAGGCTGTCCTCAAACTCATGGCAATCTTACCTGAGCTTCCCAAAGAACCCTACCATGGCTGTGTATGTGAAGGCAGTCTGCTGCAACATGGATTGCCATGGCTGAAAATCCTGCTTCTCACCACAACAGAGCTGGGAAAGGAAGGACTGTTTAAATAGCTTTTTCCTATGGATATTCTTTGCTAGGCCCAAACTCAACAAATGGTGGTTTCTTAAGTTTTAGTTGCAATGTGTATTCAGTGGACTTTGAATAATAAAATTTAGATCCATTAATCATCTTTTGCTTAGAATGAATCTTTTCTAAAACTCTTATTAATGCAAGATTCTATTATATCATGCAAAAAACAAAAACTATTATATCATGCAGTAGTCATTTGGAACATGAGTTCACTGACCTTCCAAATGCTTGTAAAGTTCATTATATCATTGGTAAACTTTCATACTTTTTTTTAGTTCTAGGGATTGAACTCAGAGACTTCACACTGAGCTACACATCCTTTTTGTATTTTTTATGGAGAGACGGTCTAAAATTCCCATGCTAGACTCGAATTTGCCTCTGCCTCCTAGAGTTCTGGGATCATAGGTATGTGCCACCATGCCCAGCCTTAAAATTTAACACCTTTTACTCACTACTCTGCTATGTACGTGGTGGCTGTATAGTAAATGTCAGTCACCTGAATTTCTCTCTAGTACAATGGTCCTGGATTGCTAGTCTGCTAGTGACCCTGATACAAGAGCTGAGCAAGGAAGAGACATCACAGTAAGACCAACAAGCACTGGGACTCAGTAACAGATGCCCTATTTCTTGCTGCACCTAGAGTTCGAGGACAAGGTCAATTGAATGTATCACCTTTGCTTGTGGAATACAACTAGGTGCTAAATACCTGCCTAGTATGTTTCTCATATTAAAGGGGATGATGGGCCAGGGATATAGCTCAGTGGCACAGCGCCTGCCTGGCAAGTGCAGAGTCCCAAGTTCAATCCCTGGTACCAATAAATACAAAAGATTAAAAAATGTGAAACACCCTTTATATGACAAGTCCCTTTTATCTCTAGTTATTACTTGTTAGACTGCACATTTTGTTACTCAGCATTATGCTGAAAATTCTGGAGATTCCTCAGAAAAACAAATGAGAAATTCCAGCCTGGTGTGGTGTGTACCTGTAATTCTAGTACTTGGCAGCTACAGCTGAGGCATGAAGATCACTGAATTTGAGGCCATCCTGGGCTACACAGTGAATTCAAGTTCAGTGAGACTGCCTCAAAAAAACCCAAAAAAGAAAAACAATTTCCATTCAACCCAGTTATTTCCCTTCTAGATATCTTCCTGAAAGATTTAATGGCATTATATTACAGTGATACATGTATTTGTACACAATGGAGTACTACTCTGCCATAAACAAATATAAAAATGAGTTGTTTGTAGGAAAAATGGATGCAACTTGAGACCATGTTAAATGAAATAGACACATGAGTTTAAATATCACATGGCTGCTCTTGTAAGTAATTTAAAAAGCAAAATAAGGGTAGGGAATTTAGCTCAGTGGTTCTGCTGCCTGCCTCACAAACACAAGGTCCCAAGTTTGATCCCCGGTACCAAAAAAAAAAAAAAAAAAAAAAAAAAAA